AAACAACCCGCTCTAGAAAATGCATGATCTTAATCCACTTTTACCGTAGAAGAAAACATAATTAGAAAAATTAAATATACTAAAAATAAAAATAAAGAATATATTTTTTCTAACATTCCCTCATAATATGACTGACCTCAACTTTCATTTGTTTAAACGACAAGACTATTTTGGTCTCTATTTGAATAGTATGGAAACTGAAGCAAATTTTTTATATGATCAAGGACTAAAATGACCCCTCACAAAGATCCAAGGGACAATTTTGGCCCTTGTATCAAAAAAATGAGAAATGAATATATTCGTGATAGGGTTGGTGTAGCTCCTGTGACGGACAAAATTAGAGAAAGTCGTCTTAGATGGTTTGGTCACATTAAACGTCGACCATCTGATGATCCGATTAGGAGAGTAGATGTTTTAGATTCGACTTGTGTTAAGAACGACAGAGGTAAACCTAGGAAGACTTGGGCTTATTGTACTAAAAATGACCTTAATTTACTAGAACTAAATGAAAATATGACACTAAATAGGACCCAATGGAGAAAAAAGGATTCATGTAGCCGACTTCACGTACTGGGATTAAGGCTTTGTTGCTGTTGTTGTATCAATAAAATAAAAAGAAAATGTATGGCTATTGACTTTTATCAATGGGAAGTTACAATATACTTCAATTAAAGTATGGAATGAGAAACATTTAAATTTAAAATACAAAATTTTACATACATATTAATTTCTAGTCCTACAATGATTATAATTTATAAATATATTTAGGAGCTAAGTTGTTTAACTCATACAACAGCTGATGAATACTTTCTGGAAAATCCTTTTTAAACAAGATCAATGAAATGAGGGAGTTTGTTTATAGTTGCTGAGTATCAGGCGGAAATACATAATGTAATTAATTCAAGAAAAGTTGTATTTGAAAACAAAACGAATGAATTAACAAAATTTTAGCATATTTGATGAATCTTTCATGAATACAACAATTAATCAAGTTGGCTCATTTTTGGTTTAAAAATGTATGTTTAGTAATTTTTATAAATGTTATTAAATGAAAAAAAAAAAACGTTCAACTTAAACGTTTGTTCTTGCTTTGGAATTCCAAACTTTTGGGCCGAATAGTGACAGTATAAGACATTTAAGTATAAGAATTGAAAAGAAACCACGAGAGTAGAATAAGAGGCAAAAAAAGAAAAAAGAAAGAATAATGTGTAAGGTCCAAAAACCTCGGCTATGATTTATGTTGTCCAGCTTAAAGCTTAAGTATAAGAATCATTCATTATGCTCAAGTAATTTAAATCGCTTACGCTTCACATATACTGAAAGGCTCATCAGAAAAGATCTACAGCATTGGTAGTGAGGAAAGCCATATGTGCCACTTACAACTTAGGTTATAGAGAGAACCATAAATTAGTTTTACCTCAAAGAAGTGAAAAAACCCAACAACTGTTCTTACATTGAAAAGAAGGCTCCAGAGTAGGATTTACAACCACAAGAGTGAAAAAAAAAAAAATTCATTAGTATATTCATTAGTAGATGTTAGACTTCTTCTAGGAAGAATTAATATGACTTGATTTAATATCATCACTTAACAAGAAGCACAAACCAAAATAGAGGCTATTAAAAACATTAATATGTACGTCTTGATATCTATAGTTAAGTGATGATTCGACCAAGAACTTTAGGTCAATCTGGAATCACCAAGTTCCAACTCAAGTCTCGGGATATTCAACAGATAGACCTTATGATCTTTGGAAGGGGACTGATGCGACACATCTAAAATACACCAAATTTAAAGGAAATGAGCTTCATAATAATTAAATCACATATGAGCCCAAGTGAAACCTTTGTTTCAATGTGTCGGCACAAACATGAGCGCTAAAACGAATATAAGTGATAGTATTATTTAAGAGTCCTCGGAACAAGATATAATAGATCTTTCTTGAATACTTATAGAAATAACCTAGTATTTTGGCATCCCTTCTTAGAGCAAGCTGTAATAGATAACAATACTGAGTTAAGAAATGGCCTCTGGGGCCTAGTCAATTTTTTTAGATCTATTTCTTTATTTTCTTATTTCATTTTGATTCTCGCTGTCCATCAAACCATTTAATGGTTCATTGCAAATTATGCATCAACTAACAACCCATTATTTCATGTTGTGTGGTTACTAAGAAGGAGAATGTTGGTTTAATCATAAGAATTATAAACTACACCGATATTGCACAACCACTTCTGACTGAGTCGTGCAATATCAGAGATGTATCAGACAAGAACATTGCTCCGACATGTGTCGGAGATGACAAAAAAGTGTCCCATTTAAAAAAATTTTGAAAATCAAACACGGGTGTCAGACACTTGTCCTAAATTAATGAATTAAAAATTTATGAAAAATATTTTTAAGACAAAATTTAAAAGAATTATATTTTTAAATAAAATTCAAAGAAGATTTACTTGCATACCACTATAATTTATGTATTTACGTATCTGACACCTAAATTTAAAATTTTATATATTTGCCACCTTTTGGCACATTAAATGTGATATGAAGATTTGGGCGGAATAAATGAAAAAATTCAAAATAACGGTGTAGATATGTAAATACATAAAATTCGGTGCCAAAGAAGCCAATAATCATTTTATTTCTTTTAACGAACCATTGATTAAAATAACTTAATTTTTGTTATAATATAAAATAATATATGCTTATTTTTGTATGTCATAAATTAAATAATTAATTATAAAGATCTTAAGGGCCGTTCGGGATCATTTTTATTTTTTTTAATTTTTTCATATTTATATTTATGTTTTGATTTAAATTAAAGCATGTTTGATTTCCGTAGTTGTTTTTATAAACACACAAAATATCTTTAACATATTTTGATTATTTTAAAATACAATTTGATTTATTTTAAAAATAAAAAGTATATATATAAAAATTACATTAACTAAAACATGATACAAAAGTGAGGTCAAACGCACTCATAATTTTTAAAATTCAATGCAATTAAATTTCTTATTTTTTGTATTCTTTTAATAATTTATTATTATTATTATTATTATTATTATTATTATTATTATTATTATTATTATTATTATTATAATTTTTATTTTAGTGGTGTGTTCGACGTGTTTATGTATCCTATGATTTTAAAAATAGACGCGTCCTGTGTCCATCTTGCCTCGTGTTCGTGTTCATATCTGTGCAACATAGGACTACACTTTCCAAGCTCTTCAATACAGAATAATTTCAAACTTAGTAATTTAATGTTGTATCCTACAAAACTTAATACATGGAATGTACTTTTAGTAGAATTAGATCTAATTGCGGAGTTGTGACAAATGGTGATCAAGTCATTAGGAGTGAACATTTTAGATATCTTGGGTATATTGTTCAAAGTGATGGTGATAAAGATGGGAATGTTATTAATAGATAGAATTCAAGTTGGATAATTGATCAAGTTGGATAATTGAGGTTGAGGAACGCATCAGACTTAATATGTGATAGAAAAGTACCGCGTAGACTTCAAAAGAATTTTTATAAGATGGTGGTGAGACTGCAACGCTTTATGGCGCATAATGTTGGCCTGTAAATGAGAAGCATAAAATTAAGTTAAGGGTTGTTGAGATGTGAAAGTCGTCTTAGATGATTTGGTCACATTAAACGCCGATCATCTGATGATCTGATTAGGAGAGTAGATGTTTTAGATTTGACTTATGTTAAAGACAGAGGTACACCTAGGAATTCTTGGGCTTATTGTATAAAAAATGATCTTAATTTATTAGAATAAAATGAAAATATGATATTAAATAGGATGCAATGGAGAAAAAGGATTCATGTAGCCGACCCCACTTAGTGGGAATAAGGCTTTGTTGTTGTTGTTGTTGGTTGCTGAGATGTGAATGCTCAGGTGGATGAGTGGCTTTACACTTAGGGATAAAATGTGAAATGAATATATAAGTGAAAGAGTTGGAGTAGCTCCACTGACAAACAAGATTAGAGAGAGACGCCATAGATGATTTGAACAAGTTAAATCGACCTTCTAATGATCCTGTTACGAGACTACGCCATAGATGGTTTGAACACGTTAAATCGACCTTCTAATGATCCTGTTACGAGACTTGACATCTGTTAAGAAAGGTATCTGAAATAACTTAGGCATGTTATATAAAACATGATCTTAATTTATTACAAGCAAATGAAAATATGACGCTCAGTAGGACACAATGGAGAAAAAAATTAATATAGCAAACCCCACTTAGTGGGATAAAGGCTTGTTTTTGTTGTTCCTACAAAACTTAAAAAGCTTGCAAACACAATAAAGTTCCGCATAGTAATGCATGCAGCCTGCATGTTGAGATAGTCTGATAAGAAGTTCTTCAGTCTCCTAAATCACATGACTTTGTAATTCAATTTCAGCTTGATTTTGCATAACCTTATGCATATATTTAATATTTCTCCTAAATTGAAATACAAGTACTTTCACTTTTACTAACCTTCACGATGATTGGGGTCTAAAACCATCAAGACATCAAAACAGCTTACTAATGAAAAGCTCGGTGATGCAAATCTAAATTCTTATTTATTGGATACATAAATCATATGCATTGGCATTCATTTCACTATCCTTTTGTCATACATTTTTTCCATCATTAGTTTTGGATGCAGCAAACTTATGGTGATAGTTCCTATCAAAATGACATTCTCTAATATCTTGATATGCAAGAGTAAATCAACAGTTTTGTCATTCGGCATTATATCATCAAGCTTGATATCACTTAACTCAAGAAAATCAAGCTCAATATCTAAAAGCATAATGAAGCAGAGAGCTAGAAACATTTCAGCACGCACAACTAATTTAGAGTGATTGCAGTTCTTAATTGCCAGTATCACCAATAAAAATTTGACATGCAGTAACCATGGATTCCAGATTTGAGGAGAAAATGATGGTGTCATGGAAGATTATAAAAGAGTGAAGAACTAAAAGATATCATGTCTGTACCAGGAGAAATGGTGGCTGACATTAGACACTTTTTGGGGCCTCTCAATCCATCTTCACGGACAGGCGTATAAACAAGCTCAACCGATCTTCCCACATCCTCAAAAGTCAAATATAGAAACTCTACAAATTAGAAAATTCCATATCAGAACAAAATTTGTTTTACAAAATTTTAAAATTGTTTTCTAATGTCTCAAAAAATAATTTATGTGACCAACGTACTCAAATCTTTTAAAAACATAGAAATTAACAGGAACTAACCATCATCAGTTAACATTTCTTTAACACCATTTTCCTTTAACCTAAACCATTCATGAATGCAGTTTCCCTTTACCCTAAAACATGATAATCAACAATCAGCAACATCTAAGCCCTATGGAGCAAGACAAAATGGTAAGACTTTCTTAACATCCTCACCCGCCACTATAGGAGGCAACAAAACTGACACAATTCCCCTCAACCAGTGATCCAACAAATTCAAGTGAATGACAACATGGTGGACCTACCAAAAGAAATTATCAAAGTTCAGTACATTTAAGATTTTGTAATAATCAACAATGTTCGATGGGCTTACCAGGGACAATAGGACCAATATGTTCAGAAGTTACTGTGGGACCATGAGCCCAATCACTTCTAATTGGTTCACATGAAACAGATATGAGGAAACCAATATCACTGCATGATACCTTATAGGAAGCAGAGTTTGAACCTTCTACTTCAGTCACTGCACCATCAGGTGCCGTCTGCGAATGCAAAGCAAGTATATCATTAAAATTAAATATAAATATTGGCAAACGAACAGCCCACTAGAAAAAATACAAATTTTTAGCAAGAATTTGAGAAGAAACCAATTAATAAATAAATGTGATTTAAACACACAGCTGATAAGCACATTCACTTACCAGGAACCAGTGGTAAACAGAATTACCCTCTTCCCCACCCCAATATTTCTTTTCAGCATACAATGTGGTTCCTTCAACACCTTCACCAACTATCTCCAAGGAAAGTAACCTAGGGTTTCCTGCATGTTGACGTTTTGAGAAGGCAACAGAACTTTAATAATTAACAGTTCTCAGAATATGCTACCAAAGAATATTAGAACTTAATAAATTAACATAAAAGGAAGATATGAACAAAGATATGAACATGAGCAAGAAACTAGAAAACTAAAGGAAATCTATTTGAGATTTCTCAATTTAAAACTGTGCATGCAACTGGATGAGTAATGATTTCAAAAGTCAGCATCTCGATTGCGGATGATCATGTGGTCAAATTTGTTATGAAAACTTACTATTGGCTACAAATAAATAAAATATCAGGAGAAATAATAGAGCAAACACACAGAAATAAAGTAAAATAGATCACTATATGTCTAATGTTCAGCTTGTATCTGTATTTTACCTGGGAGAACTGGCTCAGGAGCCCAGAAGGTTCTGGGTTCACCAATAATACCATCATCACGAACAGGTGTGCATTTAAATGAAATAAACTTGCTAATAGCATCTCTTGTTATGCGATATTGTAAAGAACCTGATGCTTCAGTGATTAATAAGCCAGCAGTACCTTCTGCCTATAAATTAAAAAAAGAAAAAGAAAAAAAAAACAGACAAAAGGAGTCGTCTGTCTACTTATCATCATAAGAGCAATGACATTTCCTCGAGAGAAAATAAGTACAGAAACAAGTTTCTTCTCTTTTTCTAATGAAATTAAGTAGATATATTTGTAACCATCACCCAAACTAATGGGACATACATCATGAAGATACCAATTGAATAAGCTTCTGCCCTCGTGCCCACCAAAATAACCATATGATGCTGTCAAAACTTCGCCCTCACAATAATTACCAGTGATGGAGAGAAAATTTAGGCTCGGCGGAAGTGCTGTCAGAATAAGGTAAATCAATTCATTAGTTAAAAATATAATTACGACTGAAAAGTACATTGGAATAGCATCGGATAAGGTGTAGCCCCAAAGTAAATCATTCGCAGAATATTTGAAAAGCTACATTGGAGTTGCATGTAAATGCTGATCCAAATGTAGGTTGGGGGTGCATTATGTTTGAGTGCAGGCAATACAGGGAAATTCAAATTTGCATGGCATAAAATAAACTATAAAGAGTAAGAAAAAAAAATTCCAACTGATAGTTTTAAGATGCTGAAGTTTGGTAAAAGAGGCAACTGAAACAGCAAACATACGATACAAGAATAAAGAAAAGGGAGGTAGGAGGTAGAGAGGAAGAAAAAAGGAAGACCGTGTGTTTTTGAGACGGAAGTAAGAACAATCAAATGAAAAAATGCTAGAGCAATAGCGATTTCTTAATTCATTAACTCAATTACAAAACTCTAAGCGATATTTAAGAAAATAAGCATTATAGAAACAGGCAATACAATCTAAAAAAAAAAGAAAATTTTACCAAAATAAAATTTTGATTTTAAAAGTGAAGAATTCACCAAAAAGCAAACAATATCAACAACATGATACATTAAACAAGATTAAAAAAATAAACACATAAGTAATGATTAACATAAATTGGCAGGTCTACACATCCAGGATCAAGACGTGCAATGACCTACACCTGTCTGACCACCTTTGGAATGCTGATCAGATAAGTCAATCATCGGATGAGAAATGACAGGTCTACACATCCAGGAAGAAGAATAAGAATGACGATCTACTTGAGCTCAGGAATCTAAAGGATGATACATTGGTTACTACAAGCAATGGTACTCACCTTACTAATTTGTTAACCGAC